GGGGGGAGAAAAATGAAAAAAAAACATTAGTCATTTTATGTACGATGACACGTTGTAGGCGACGAGGACGGTGCAAGAAATTTTATAGAAAAAGTGATACGTAATACGTGACGTCATGCTTCCATGATGCATCTCGATTCCTGATGAACTCATCCTGGCCATTGCTCACTAGCCGCACATGCGTTCCATGGCGATGATATTCAGCCGTGATTTACATTTGGCGACTGGAAATATATGTACGTTGCAGGCATGTATCTTGCTCTTTGTATAATGACAATAGTAACGATCTATATGGATCTCATGAAAACGAATCCACATACTCTCGAGTCACTGATCGCCATTGTACGTGGGTTACCTTTCGATGGATCTGATTTAAGGATGTGCTTCGGTCAAGGGTCGTCGTTGTGACAAAGGATAGGCTAGGTCAGGATCCCTCAACGTGGACGAATGTCCTCCCGACGATTCGAGATAATAATACAAATATATTCGTACGTTGTAGCTGGTCGCATCGTGGTTTATCGACAGCAAGTGTCCCTCTGTGTGTCGTAAATAACGGTACGGTCAAATAATAAATTGTCAATAAATAATTGATCGACCTGTAATGGCTCAGCTTCCAGGTCCCGGTCGCTGGATTTATCGGCGGCGTGTATCTACCTTGCGTTTCTATAACGCGTTGAGTTGCGTCATAATAGGAACGATGCTCCACGTCACGTTGGGTATAGCGGCTATGTTAAAGTTCTTGATATCCGATAGCCGAGAGTTTGTTGTGTCTTCGAAGATTATTTGGTTCGTTTCGTAGTTACTCGGTGCACGTGTCGAGTACGCTGGTCGGAAACGTTGGGTCTTGTATAATCTGACAGAAAGTATAGAATCGAGTAAGAAAATACGTCACGCTCCGAGGGGCCAATCCCTTCGTGATTTACCGTGTCAAGGAGTCACTTCGATCTCGGAGCTATGCTGTAGTCCAAACGTGTATGTTTATTGAGGATGAAAGAAAGTTTAGTATATGTCTGATGTAGCACTGTGTATTGTATGTCCTTTGTTAACTCCTAAGAACCTACTAACCTTATATGACAACTATCGGCATACGACGTAACCGACATTCCCCTAAGCTGTAAAGCCCCTTTAACACTGTGAATATCCTGGTTATTGAATTTCTACTGGGGGTTGGTACACGTGCTTCTCTGTATTCGAGTATCTTATATTACGTCGTATATCTGCGTACTTTACGAGCGGACATATGGTTACTTACCGCTGCGTGAGGAATTAAAGCGATGATTAATCGAAAGATAAGCAGACATTGCTAAGCTTTGTTCTGCGAGGATATTTGCACGTCACTAGGAATTTATTTGAATTTGCGAAATTTCTAATATTCACGGGCAATCGATACTCACGTGAATACGTATGGCTTGAGAGGTTATGTTATTGGTGGTGGGTTCTATCTAGGAATACCTACAAGAGCACGTGCCAGAGTTTATAGGTACGCACGTGATATTTTATGTAGTATGGACCGGGGGGATGTTCTGGTCAAAGTTATCGGCTGGATGGGACACGGATCGTTTAAAAGTAATGAATATGAGTCGAAAGTCGTAGCAATTGAACAAACATAGATGAAATCTGAATGTTTGGCTCTAGCTATATGTCTGTCCTTGTCTTATGCACGTAGTCAACCATAATCCCGTCTCCGTCGCACTCACGGACGGTATGGGAAAATACGAAAACTTGAGCATGGTCCTTTTGGTAGGCAGTCTAATGATACTTGGCATCTCGATCACCTCTGTCTTCTTTGATCATATTCCAATGCCTTTTTACGTATTTCTTTCATACGTTTGAACTGGATGGCCTTGCTTAGTAAATACGTCTCGAAGATCTATTTTGACCAGACTTTTTTTTCATACCTTATTTCCGTTCGACTTGTATCGATTCACAAAGCAACGGATATTCTCGGCACCTCGGAACGTTTAGTAGACGCGAAATTTTCATTGTGGGTGGAAAAGAAAAGGTATGTCTGACCGTGAAAATTTGCCAAGAAATTTTCCCATGCTACGTACACCTGCGTGAATACGAAATATGTACGCACAGGAGTTTCTGTCGGACACGCCTACCTCGATGGAAAAAAAGTGCAGTTCGGGTATACGTGCAAGATACAATGCTGTGAAATCCCTCATGAAAGGAAAAAGAGGAGAGATGCGAGAAAAAAGTCCAACCTCTGTGAAAAAAAATTTAACGTCATTCCATATTTACATCAATGTACCATATTCGCGTATTGTATGTCCAAATTTGTTATCCCTTCCGTTCTCGAGGGTGGCTGAAGGGTTGAATTTTTTTTCCTTCCAGGACGACTGTCCCTTACGAAAATTGTATCGTCCCTCCCTTCGCCCAGAGACCGACAGCAGCTGAGCCATTCCTTGACACGGTCGATTCTCGAACTTTCTCGCAATATCTTTGTCTGGCAACGTTGATTCGTAATTTCTCTCGCTCGGTACCAACCGACTCCACGTATCGCTTATCTGTATAAGGAAAGAGCCGGATTATAATTATTATCAATGAATACGGTATTTTTCCTAGAAATTCGTATATACCTCGGGGCACCGGTAGAGATTTATTTAAGGGACCTTACAATGGACCGTATCTAATGATTTTTGCGTGGGATCGTAAGTACTTTGATCTACTCATCGATCGTAGGCTGCCATTGGCTCGGTCAAGACTACCATTGTCGATGGACGCATGTAAAAATTGTATAGGAGGTCGACCGGGTTACTTTCTAGTTGCCTTATAAGCCGGGATCTGTCGATATACATATTGCGTACAGAGTGCTTCTAACGTGTGGACGGAATGGATGG